ATTCGGATGCTGTCTTTATGGCTAAGAATAACAAAAGTGGTAGTCGAAGTAAACATATCGACATTAAGTATCTAACCATAAGGGAATGTATTAAAAGTGGTCATTAAGCACGTATGCACCGAATTGATGATCGTTGATCCTTGGACTAAACGCATGCCATCATTGAAATTCAAGGATCATATGGAGAAAATGGGACTTTGTTCCACTATGCAACGGTAAATACAATTTTTGCATGAAACTCTTATTTATTGTGGTATTTTCTAATATTCATGCGCGCCTTAATTTATTTGAGAAAATACATTTATGTAGGACCAAGAATAAGACAAGGTCTTTTCATTAAGTATTGTTACCACATAAGGAAATGTTCTTGATGAACTAAATGCATCATAATACATGGAAGGTGATACTCATTATTAGAGGACCCATCGCCATGATTCATGTGTTTGTTTTTTTAAGAAAATACAATCAATAAGATTAAGTTGAAACATGAGGTTGAATGCGTGGACCAAGTGGGAGAATTTGACATATCATCTTCCATTACCGTTTCTTCATCCGGCAATTGAAGGGACAAATGATGGTCCATATTCATTGGAGTTTCAACATTTACACCATTGGTATTGAAGGGTTTGTAACCTAAGCCATAATTTGATGGAAATTTTGGCTATATATATGATGGTTTTGGTCCCCAAGCTCAACAACTCGAAATACAAAATACACCATCTAGTTAGAGTGTTGAGAGCTTGGAAGCATTATTACCTAGAATAAAGGAGAGCTTCTGGAACGACATCAATGGCTGGAGGTATGGATTCGATTCCGGTGATCTTCCGAATTTTCAATTCAATTAGTTTCTGCATATTTGTTTTGGATCGATTTTTCTAACAGTAATAACAAAACAGACATGTAAGAAGTTGTCTGGATCGTGTGTCTTTTCAAAGATTGATTTGAGAAGTGGTAATCATCGGATTATAATCCTCGAGATTCCCTCATAAGAAAAATTGAAGTAAAATTGTTTTTGAGTTCAAAGAAGACACCTCCGAGGGAACGTACTCTTCTTTAGAATCTGAAAAACTGGAGAATCTGCGAATGGAGGAGGACTTGTCCCCTGTTGGTGGCCTTTCTCAAGTTGGTAACTTGAATATACCAATGGTGAGTATTACAAAAATTAATAAAATGAATATTGCTAATTGTTTAAGCATTTAAGTGTGGTTTACCTTACCATACAAAACCAGTTAACAAAAATAAATACATCAGTAAATAATTTGTAAAGGTTAACTTTGATCTTAAAGTCTAAATGGACTCAAACGTGGTCATAAAACATTTTTTCAAATCTCATTTCTATAACACATTGTGTCATAAAATATTTTTATGCATAAATTCAAAATTTTTCTTATTTTTTAACAATACATTCTTCAAAAAAATCACTATTCCAAAATAAATTATCCTAAAAAATATGGGGCTCAAACAATTGCTTGAAAGTAAAAATGAGATGAATAATTAACATGGGAGTCCAGAAATGTCCAAATACATAGACCATAGATAATGTTTACAAACGGAGGTTGCTACGCATGTTAGGCGACTCATTTTGTTGTGACTTGAGCCTGGTCATGTCGAGTAGGTATAAGCCTATCGAATAGGTTTATTTTAATCATCTCAAAAAGTAATACATACATTAAAGACACTTATTTTTATTTTTTATTCCTTTTTGCGTAGATCGTCACGTTTGAATTTCATTATCTAAAAATTCATTCTTTCGTAAATTCTTTTTTTTAAAAAAAATATATCAATAAAATAATTTTATCTGTAAATCTATATATATATATATATTTTTTTTAATCATACAATTGCAAAGTACTACTATTATAAAATTCATTTTTAGCAAAAAAATGGGTACAAAGAGAGCCATAGCATATAGAGAAAAGGCCCCTTGATCCATGCAGACAAGCCCATTCAATCCATAACAAACACCAAAATAGAGCCATGTATATAGATGTGGCCTCATTAGGAGATATGGTCTGCAGACTGCAAGCTTGGAGTGGACTGGTTCAAAGCCTTTACAGAATTCCATTTTATTCTTTCTTAAAGGTTGAACCCCAACCTTGAGGGCTCCGTCGCCCCGCCCCTAAAACTTTGTGGAGGAGATAAATCGCGAGATATGCCCTAACAAATTAGGGAACAAAAGTTGTCTGTACACTGTGCTTATAAGGAGTTTAATTCCATGTTTCAGAAATCGAACCTGCACACTGCGGCTACCAACAAGACATGAAATAATCTCACTCCTATCATTTGCACTACTGGACTATATCCCGGGGGGCCCTTTTTATTCTTTCATGTTGTTTGTTAATTGGAAAAATAATAATATATTCTCAAAAAAGGTAAAATAATTTTTATTACATTCAGATGGGAATAATATTCACATTACATATTTTATTTATTAATTTAAATGAATGACCTTGACCTTTGCTTCTTTTTGCACTTGTGTCCCTAATTTTCCATTATATTCTTATTTTTGACATTTTCTTGATTTGTACTTCTTATCCTTAATGATGGTTTAGATCCAAAAATTTTGTTAGGATGGTGTAAAAAAAATTATTTCTCTTTTTAAATAACCAAAATAAACAGCATATACCAAAGTTTGATAAAATATTTGTCCCTCATTTTAACGTATGTTAACAAAGTATTTGGACAACAATCATGAGAAACAAGATGTGCTATTAAGGGTAAAATAGCGAAGAAAGATAACGAGTACATAAATGTAAAAATTAGCAAAATGAATGATTTAGACAAATATCTCACACATTATTTTTTTTCGATGCTATCTAACCCCGAGTCCCAATTAAGATTTTATTTAAGAAAACATCAACCATATTTGAATAATAAAAAGAATAACATATAAAATAAAATATTTTAAAGTAACCTAGGAAAAAAACATATAAAATATTTTCTTAAATAAAAATTAAAACCTTCCTAGTATTACTAAACAACAAAAAGAATAAGATTTAATCTCTTCAACTTAAGCTTTTTATATTTGAGATAAAACTATATTTCAGAGTTTTCTCAAAACCCTAGCCCCAATTCTCCTTCTGGTATACCCTAGATTCTTATGTGTTCCACCTCCGAAGGGCCTTAAAATAGTCATAGGGAAAGACTAGACTGGCTGTTATTTTACTTTGGCCCTTAAAAGTAACCCTAAAATAATTTTGTAACTTACTTTAGATAAATTTTATAATTTGGACCATATCTTCATTTGAAATCATTAGAGATACCCGATCGGAATCACTCGACTCAATCTTCAATACATTCTCAATTTACTCCGTTTTAGACCAATTGGGATTTATTTATTAATCTTGGCTCGAACCGTCCAATAAAGAGTCGGACTTGTCATCTTGGGTCAAGCAATATAACGGAAGGCCAACACTATTCAATAAAAATATCCTTTGATTATCACGCTAACAAATCAACCTCTTCGATTGACAATCCATATTTCGGAGTCAGGGAAAATGATCGTTATGTCCCTCCTAATGTATTATTTTACTCTTTGAGTCTCATTTTCACGAGGCTCAAATTACAAATATAATTCAATGATTGCATTGTTAAATCACCGAGTTCTGATTCGATTGCCTACTAGATAAATATTTGAAGTGACGATCATCTCACAATTTGATTAATAAACTCCATCTTGCAACAAATGCTATAAACTAACAATCACCTCTGTGGTCAAGATAAGCTGGCCACCTAATTCGGAAGAAATATGTTTATTTCTACTTAATTATTAATATAATCGTGGAATCTTTTGAAATATACTCATCAATAAATACGCTATGCAAATAAGATAAATAAATGACATTAATTCATTCATTTATTAGTTAATCTTGACCTACTGAAATCAAATTTACAATTAAATAAAAGCACCCAAATGCATTATAGACTCTCTCTTCATAGATAAAGTTGATAATTTAATTGTATATACGAGGATTTACTATCATATGATGATTATTTCGTATTATGATTTTGATCAATCGTTAGCTTTCAATATTTCAAGAAAGAGGGAAAAAAAATGAAAATTTCTAGATCAAGCAATTCAAGGTAAAAAAGGTTTCAAATACCTCAATGACTCAAAAACAATTGTAGGATAAAGAATGCTCGAAAGATAGAGGTAGAAAAAAAAAATTTAATTGTCATTTTCTAATATTGCTTTTTATTTTTGAATAATATACTTCATCAATCTCACCTATATAAACTTAATATCAACACGACATTAATATAAGTGTTGAAACTACAAATACTGATATAATAAACATCTTAATAAAATTGATTTACTTGTGAAAAAAGCAAAAGTTGAAACCAAAGAAATGGATACATTGAATCTTAAATGAGTACATGGGTTGTTTCAAGAAAAGGCTACAATGAGTATGGCGTATATGAAGAAGGTTTTGCTTCAGTTCATAGAATCTGATCTCTCTCTCTCTCTCTCTCTCTCTCTCTCTCTCTTCCCTTTGCAAAAAGAGAACCTCAATTCCAAGAATCCGTAAATAACGCTCTAAGGTAATTTTCCCTCGTTGTCTTTACAGTCTAAGTCTTACACACTTTGCCTCGAAAAGTAGCTTTCCTCACAACTGTGCACGTGTATACCAGTATCTACACCCTAAAAATGGTGGGAATTAACTGCATTTGGAGCAAACCCATACCTCTTTGTATCTCGTAAATTGTTATCCCAAACTCACATTGAAACTGTCAACGGGCTTTAAAAGAATCCCTTCTATTTATGTGACTGATGAGGTAAAATCAATAATAATAAGAAGTGTTCTTGTTTTTTTTTTTTTTTTTTTTTAAAACATGAATTGAGATTAAGAATTCATGATCTCATCAAGAAACAATTTTTTACAAACTAGTTTAATCAAATTGCAATCATTAATATCAATATTTGATAATCATCTGACTGGAAAGATAGAGAAGAAATAATTAACTCATAGTAATTTAAAAAGAAAAAAGAAAAAAAAAGGTCAAAACAAACCAAATGTAACTGGAACTGCTTAATAGTTTCTAGATAGAAAATCTTGAAGAGTTGAAATGAAACAAGTTGAATTCAAGAGAGTTAACCTTCTTTGAGTTTGATTGAATTGGCTAAAATGGCGGTCGGCCACTAGCCCAATAGGCCTCATTAGGCATCTGAATTGAGTTGAGGAGATTTGGTGGTATCCCTTGAAATAAAGAAGGATCAGACATTAGATGTTCCTGCTGCTGCCCTCCAACACCACCTGGGGGAGATCCAAGTGAACCCCCTTGAACTGGATTGATCGGATTCTCTTCATCTTCAAGTGGGAGCCGTTCATATGCTGCATTGCTGAATGAGGCTGACATGACTATGACTGGCCCTGATGCCAAAAGTGCGCCCACAACGGTCCCTCCCACCACCTGGCCTTGTCCACCCCCTAAATATATAGTCAACCCGGTGGCTGCAGGAGGAGCAGGCGGTGGCAGAAAAGATCCGGCCAGGGACAAGATCTCGAATCTACCATGTAGTGTCACGACCGCGCCAGGAGCTGCCGGTTGCCTTAGGGTTACATTAGTCACATTACCACTTCCACTCATAATACACACACCTCTTTGGCGCCTCCTGGCAAAGTTCACAACACTCTCCATGATATCACATCCGTCTGAAATTTCCATGACATGAGTTCGCAGTGCATTAGCGCTGTCACGCGTGATGATGATTGGTGGCTTCGGCTTGTTCTTGGATCCAGATGGTCTACCTCTCGGCCTTCTTGTCATCTCTCCTCCCATACCCATGGCCCCGCCCTCTTCGCGCTCACCAGCGTTCGTGTCGTTTTCATTCCTGCCTTCATCGCGATTTCGCATCTGTCCCATGTTTAGGCCACTGGTTTCACTCTGCTCATCTTCAGAATTATGGCCCTGATGATGAAATTGCTGCTGCAAATTGAAATCTCTTGTGTGAAAAGGAGGAGGAAGGGAATGACCATGTGCTGATGCTGTTACTGGATCCATACTTTCCCCTCAAAGTCTAGCACTATTGCTTGCTTATATTATTACACCAAAAGATGAACTTTTACAGAGAGGTCAAGAAATTGAAGTAAGATAAAAGGTGTAACGATTCAAAAAGATCGATTAGCGGAGTTTAGGCTTACCTGTGTTTCTCTTTTTTCTTACTTTCTTGGTATTTTTTTTGCCTTGTTTAATGAATTAAGGCACTCATAGTCTTCACCATAAAGAGAAAAATTAGAAGTGGATTTTTGGGTGTCACCCACCAGATTTCTCCATCGCACCACTTTCCCAAAACACTTGACGGGAGATTTTCTCAAGGGTTTTCCAGATGGTTTTCTGCGTTCTAAGATTTCAGAGGGTTATTATTGGACTATCTAGGGTTGGATTTTGGTAAAGACGGTGGACCCTCTCTCTTTCTCTCTCAATCTCACACACACAAACACTGATATGTATGTATATGTTGCATCTATCTATCGACCTCAGCAAAATGGTATTATTGGTTTTATATTCATGTAAATCCAGGGCTCTTCTCCAAATTCAACTTCTCTTTGTCCGTATCTTTCATAAGGTCTCAATCAATGAAGGGTTTTGTTGTGTCTAACATAAGACGCGTAATAGTTTTGAACTTCGCATTAATTGGTTAAGGTTTTCTATTTGTGTAATAAGATCTTAACTTGACCATAATATTGTTCACCAATATTTATACAGAATATAGATTATGTTGCATTAAGGTTTTATTTGTTTTCACTCTTAGATGATTCTTTGTTGCCGAAATATGTAAAATGATAATTAAAATGTAAGATTATGAATTACTCCTTTTAATAAGTTCGATGTTTAAAAATTTCAAAAGAATAGTATTTGATTCATCTAAAGTTGAAATGAACCAACCACTGTATTTTTTCAAATAATCTACTACCTTGTAGGGAATGCCAATAATAATCCACAATTCTTAAATGTGAAGAACAATAATTAATACAAGGGCTTTGAGTGCTCTATATTCTTAATAAGGAATGATCTTTTAAGATGGATTTCTAACCTCAATTTGAGAATGTTGAACCTCATTTAAAAGTTTAATTTTTGATAATAACACAAATTTACGTTTCCTAAACTCTTGTAGCCATATTCTCATTTTGTCATGTATATATATATATATATATATATATATATATATATATATATATATATTGCGGACGAGATATGGAGACGTGGTTTGTGTTCCACTAGTACATTGGATGTTAAAACATCGAATTCCTTTTGTTTTTGTATATTGCTTCCACATTGTAATTAGGTAATAAAAGAGAAACATCAATACTAAGAAGAGTAACAACAAACAAAAGAAATTTTTTAATTGCTGTTTATTTTTCAACACTTTGAAATAATTTACACCTGCTAAATCTTGTAGTAATACTACTATAATCATCAAAGATGAGTTCCCTTTCTAAAATTGTCTATTTTTAGTGGTGAAAGATGCACAGTACCAACCAAGATTTTAAGGCATATAAAAATTAGGTCCCCTAAGCATGAGATAGTTTTTTGAGTATAAACTACAAACAATTTATCTTAAAAATTCATTAGCAATCTAACCTACACATTCAATCATCTAATATTAAAGTTTAACCTATTCATAACAAGAATAAAATTTAATTTATTTATATTTCATCCTCAAACGTATTCTTTTAGAAGGCCAAATTCATTCTTATTAATAGCAATGTTTTGAAAATCGAAAACTACACACACACACACACCCCCCCTATTTGACATTGGTTAGTTCCCAATTCGATTCTTTCACGCCTAAACATTTATCTTTTCTGAATCGAAATTTGAATCGATTTTCGAAACTCTGATTAAAGATCTAACACGTGAAATTTTCATTAATCTGAAATTTTACTCATATGAAAGCTTAATCTTGACTCAAGACAAATTAAAATGTAGATAGACAGCTGTCACAATTAAATTGGGTTGTGATATAAGATGCAGAAACATGTGTGTAAGCGAAAGAAAGAGGGACCAAACATGCACACCACCATCCTATTCCTATCTTCTTCTAATGAACAAGGTTGGGCCCACGTGATACGTGTCATTACCCCCACGTTTCTCGGGCCTATTCTTTGAACATTATCATCTTCTACTTGTAACTGGTCCCTCACTCCACCTGGGTATTGACGTACGATGCATCCCTCATTCATTTTCCCCGAGAACTATCTTTTACCCTAACATACGCCGATAATTTACCCAAAGCCCTACTCATCTTAAGTCAACACTCATGTCCGGGTAAGATTTCGATTTCATCTTAAAAAGAAAATTCTTATTAAAAGAAGTAACTTTAGCCCTTACATACTGATTAATAATTTTATATTTATGAGTATTATGCTTGAAGGTTTCCTCCTCTAAGATGATGATTTATTTGAGAACGTTAATATTAGAATCTAATAGCTAATATGAGACTTAGAAAAAAAAAGTTCATTAAAATTCATCTTAAGAAGTCAACTTATTAGCTCCTGTTTAGTTCAGCTAAAAAGGTTCATTAAAATTCAAGTTAAAGTTAACAATTAATTTTAATTATGCTTTTTATAGAATTCACAATTCTTCAACCATATAATTGATCTACTTTTAACAAATAGGGCTTAGAAAAGTAACAAAAATGTTTATATGTTTCTTTTAACATTGAATACTGGGGTCGTTGTCGGGGATTGAATTTTAGTTAGATTTTAATTATCTTGGCACTAATTCGAACATTGTTTTTATTTAGTTTTTCTTATTTTAGTTATTTGAGTGCTACTACTAATCTTCTCTCAGGTCTTGCATGCGGAGATCGCTTGGTGGTGAATTAATTCCAACTAATCCAAGAATTGAACGCATCTTTTATTGTAGGTAAAGAAAAGCAAGAGCAGCACAATAAAAAAATCAAAGACCAAAAACAAGAATTTTAAATTGCTAATGAGAAAAACAATCCAGTAGTTCAAGTCAACGAAGATGAAGCTGCAGATGAGGAAAGTATGCTTGTTGGGGACTTCATGATCCCATCATAGTACAAATATGGCACGAAAAATTTGATTTCCTTAATTGATTAAAATTCTTATGACAATCAATCTTGGGACATCTTTTAAAACCTTAGGGCCATCACTAATCATTCACCGCGCATATTTACACATTCTTCGGGTTTTGAGAGTGTAGAAGGAGGCAAGAAACGCGAAGAACAACCCGAAGACACGAAAATTCCATTCAATAATTAATTGGGCAATGTCATTTCTTCAATATTCTATTTGTTCACTTCTTTCCACCATGCTAGACTTTTGTGCTAGGAGAATAATGAACCATGTGATATGACTTTTTAATATTTAGTTTTACATTTTTTACATTAAAATAAGTTTTTTGAAATTTGAATGGTTTATATGAATTTATTTTCTCCACAATTACTGTGCACGTGATTGTGTGAATTTGGTGGCTTATTTCATGCATTCAAAAGAAGGGGAATAAGCTCGACATTTTATAAGTCATCGTAGGGTCCAATAGGGAATAGAAATATACAACTATGCTCTCTATGAATCTTTAAGTGTTCATAAAAATTCATGCATTTTTGTGCATTCGACTTTACATTTTAGCCATCCAGCGATCCTGTCTGAACTAAATGAGTGGATGGCCGGAAGAGATCCCCCTCCCCCTAAGCTTCGTATCCATCATAGAAATATAATCGGTTCGTATATGAGAATATGTTCAATATTATTCGAGAGAGATTGTTGAATAAAATAGAAGAATTAATTCGTCAAAATTCAACCGTGTTGTCAAAATGTAAAACTAAGTTTAGAAGGGATTCTTGCATAGGGATTCACAATCCTATTATGTTCGTCATTCATTAAAGACATCAACTTGCATTTAAACACCACTTGCATCTAATTTAACTAATTGATTCATAATTGTATACATAATTTATTTTAGTTATAATTTCATGACAACAAATACATTCTTATTATTCTTGTTTGGGTTAAGGTCAAGGTAATAAAAATTGAACTAAATCAATTCTTGTGGTACCATACTTGGACTCACATCCACTTTTTTACTTGTTAACGAACCATACATTTGTGGTGATTTTTCAATCAAAAGATATTTCGCATGACAAATACTAAAAATTACAAATATAAATGTGTACCCTCTCAAACCAACTATAGTAAGCATCTTTCATGCATCTCAATTCTCAATGAATATAATAAAATGGTAGCGTCTGAAATAAAATATGAGAGTTGCAGGGTCCACTCCATAACCGTATGTGCATACAGATATGTATAAAGTTATAGGAGGTGGTGGAGAATCTTGTGATTTGAGCAACGATAACGAAAAATATGAAATCGACCATTCCCTTTAGTGGGCTCCGCGTACCTCACTCCACTCCGCTCCATTTCGATATCAACTCATTTATTCCCATAAAAACATGTTTCATTTTATATGAGTCACATATTACAACTGTGAAAGAGTAGGAGTGAGGGAAAAAGAAAAGACGTGCGTGGGTGGCGCTGACACCCTGTAGGGAGGCAGAAACTACAGCACAAGCAGTGCGCCCCTCTTCTTCTCCGGGAGATTCACTGTTGGATTAGTCGGTGTTAATTAAACTAAGTACTTATCCAGTTGTTGTTTTTGGGATTCTCTCTTTTCTCTTTTTTTTTTTTAATTTGGTTACTGAAACTTACAATGCATCTTTTCACGAACCCATGTAATAAAGATGCTCTTTGTCGGCTCCCTCTCTTTTCTCTATCTGATACATAAATAGTTGTGAATTTTCTATGTAACTTGATATAGTTTACCGACCTACACTTCTTTGGTTGTCACATTGTGAAAAGGAAAAATTTATCGTGCTTCAATCGACCTATTTTGTGTTAAGTTCATTTTAGTATTATATTAATGAATTTTGTAAATAATTTAGGATAATTCATGCAAGGGAATGATCACGAGTCGAAGGAGCATTTGGCGTTCAAGATTAATCACTCTCAAGCGTGTAAATGTCAAGATTTTTCTTTAATAGCATCGACAAGACGCTACTAAAAGAATTCATCTACATGGTAAGTATCTATGGCACAAGAGCAAGAATTAGTACCAAATGTGGTATGTTTGAGTCGACATTATACAGAAGGAGTGTTGGCTGCAGTTTCAGCTTTGAGTTCCAAAATCTAATGTAAAACATAGAAATAATGCAGCAGATTTTTGAACAGTAGTAGACGAAGGAAAAACACATTTTACATTAACAAGGAGTCTATCTGGACAAGAAACTTATGATAGGAGCACATAGTGAACAATGGAGCAATTAAGAATATTGCTCGAATGAGTTTGTTATAGCGCTCGAGGATAAACAAAAAATAATAAAATTTATGTATGAAAAGACGAAAATTTTAAAGGATAATTACGAAGTTCAGTAATCGTTTGATAATATTATTGCTTC